TCCCCCTCTCTCTCTCTCTCTCTCTCTCCCTCTCTCTCTCTCTCTCTTTCTCTCTCTCTCTTTCTCTCTCTCTCTCTCTCTCTCTTTCTCTTTCTCTTTCTCTTTCTCTCTCTCTCTCTCTCTCTCTCTCTCTCTCTCTCTCTCTCTCTCCCCCTCTCTCTCTCTTTCTCTCTCTCCCTCTCTCTCTCTCTCTCTTTCTCTCTCTCTCTTTCTCTCTCTCTCTCTCTCTCTCTTTCTCTTTCTCTTTCTCTCTCTCTCTCTCTCTCTCTCTCTCTCTCTCTCTCTCTCTCTCTCTCTCTCTCTCTCTCTCTGTCTGTTCTTGATTTTTTTAGAAATGACACAAACAGCCAACAGCCTTCTTTACTTTAGTATTCATCACACCGTTAGGATATTTGGCATCAACAAACACTTTCGATCTTTCTGTATGGTGGGCTAGCCTCTTGATGTTATTTATTCTAAGTCTTCCGAATTTTCTGTACGTCAATTTCTGTAACCTCTTCCTCAGGTTCCATATGGTCTTCCCCTTTATCTTTTACCCTGTGGATTCCAATCCAACGCTTTCCTTTCTTATCCTTTTTTTTAAAAACTGTAACTCTAATGCTCATTTCCCATTTGCGGTGAATTATATTGAACAGTTTACTTTGATTATATTATTAAATTGCAGTATAACAAAGAAAGTGTCGGATTGGAATTGACAGGGTAATAGATTATAATAATAATAATAATAGATAGCATTTTTATAGCGCATATCCCCGCTCAGCAGCAGGCTCTATGCGCTTTACACTATATTATTACCCCAGCAGACCATAGAACACTCCGAAACATTCTCAGCTTCCCGGGAAGCATACAGTGCAAGCAGCCGATTAAGCGCTCAAACACTAACAAACTGACAAGATCTTTCGCTGTCTATAGCCGGGTACCCATTCCCACCTGGGTGAAGTGAGGAGAATTTGTGTAAAGTGCCTTTCCCAAGGACACAACGTCGGGTCCCTGACGGGATTCGAACCCATGACCTTACGGTTGCGAGTCCGAGCGCCTAACCACTAGATCGAGAGGAAGGCCATATGGAACCTGAAGAAAGTCACAGGGAATGATGTACATGTTGTGTGTGTTACTCTCTGGTTACGTCTCTAATCTTTGGCACTTATATCTCCTATTTGTGTTGCACGAGTTGTAAACTTTTTACGTGGGTGGTTGGCAGGTGCTCTGGTGTGGTTTGTTTCTTCTTTCCTATCAAATATATATATCGTCCTTATCTCCCCTTCTTCTTTTTTATGTTTGTTACTCTCTTGTAACACCTCTAATCTTCGGCTCTCATATGACCTTATGCAGTTGCGAGCGCCGTAAAACTTCTACTTCTACACAAAAAAAAAGCAAAACAACTTTTTAATAAAACCAAGTAATTGAAGGGAATTTTTTCTGGCTCTTCGTTTTGTTCCTCGTTCTTCCTCTCGTTCATTCAAAGTGTCGGTGACTCAGGGTTTAGATGGGTGGTCACTGGGGTGTGTCCTTGAGCAAAACACAACAACCCAAGCTGAAAAAATCCAGGGTGCCATATAGTGGCGACCAGCAAAGGCATGTTTGTGAAATTGTTCTCCATTGGTTAAAATTTTATGTATTTGGTATTCTTTTTATGTATATTTGAATTTGTATTTAATTTTTTTTTCCCTCGTGTCCTGATTTTTGTGCCGATATTTGCAGATTAAGTAAAAATGTGTTGAAATAGTGCAAATTATTGTTTCAAGAAAAACAGAACAAGAAAAAGTGAAATTTAGACCTGCATGTTTGCCGACAATCGTCTGAAATCCGACAATCGCGACCCGACCCGCGAACCGGCCGATGCTATCGCTAGGCCCACCTGTATCAGTCAATGTGCGTAGTGCGAGGCCTGGCCGACTGCCAGCGACCCCTTTTTCTCCCGTCGGCTTCGTCGGCACTTTCGTTTTCGTGCCGACCGCTGACGCGCGCACCGCCAACTGCCGACGTCGGCGTTTCCGACATAATTGTCGGAACCTAAGTAGAAATGCGAATACGAAAAAGGACGACAACCTAAATTATCTACTTTCAGTTTCGTGCTCGAGCGGCCATTTTGAATTTCGTTTGTTGACTAATTCAATTGTTCAGATCGTGTGGATTCATTCAAGTCCGACTCTCTTGTTCTAATAGAATCTAGATCTAGATCTAGATTTATATAGATCATTATAGACCTCAATGGAGGATTCATATTCCAATTCTAATGTGTCAAACCCTATCATAGGTTGTGCTGCAATATTAATATATTGGTAAAAATAAGCAATTCATCAGGTGCGTGAATTATTTATTTATTTAGATCTCTAGCATAGCAATGTAGATGTAAGCCATATAGATCTAGAATCTAGATCTAGATTCTATATGCTCCTTGTTTGTTTTGGAGTGTGGTTTTTTAATTAAAATTTTTTTTTTCATTAGGACTTGTTTTGGCCTTTTTACATGAGGCCCGTTGCAGGTTCTTTTTGGGGGTGGGGTTAGGGTTAGGTCTCTTCTTTATTGTGTTTGTTGGGGTGGTCGCTCGTTACTCGTATGTCCTTCCTATGACACCCACAAAGGCTTTTTTTTGGTGGGGGGGGGGGGGGTTGCGCAAAATTTTCAGACAATCTGGTTGAGGCTCACATGCAGGTCTAGGAATTGTTTAGTCAGTGTTGATGATGATGATGGTGATGATGATGATGATGATGATGATGATGATCATGCTGTTATGCTGGAAATGATGTGCATGTTATTTTTAGTGTCGAGTGAATCTTATTATTTTTTGTTTGGCGCTTACTCTAGATCCCCCCAGGCTGTACTTACGTATATATGTTTGCCGTTGTGACCCAAATTTCCCCCATGAGGACCAATAAAGTGTAAGTTTATTTTATTCTGATTATTTGTTATCCATTTATTAATATTTTTGATTAATTAATTATTATTAATTATTGACAGGGCAAGTCACAAGTCACAAACAAAAGTCAAGCGAGTGCAGTCACGCCGGAGACGACAGAACCAGGAACCAGCGAAAAGGTCAAGGTCAAGTCACCGTCTCAAAAAGTGGATATCAAAGGACTTTTTGACGAGAAGTCGTGATAGTAGTAGTTTCTGTTGAAAAGTTGATGTGTATGCGTGTAGACTGAATGAAGGAATTAAACACAGATATGAATTTTACAAAAACATGTATACTTGTTTACTTTATTTATTTTTTTTTCCCCGTGTCCTGATTTTGGTCCCCATTTTTGTTGGTTACGTAAAAAGAAAGTTATATGAAAGGAGAATTGTTGAGTCGCTAACGATGATGATGGTGAAGATAATGCTGATGATGATGATGATGTTGTTGGCGATGGTGACGGTAATGGTAATTGTGATGGTGAGCATGAGGATGATTATTTATGTTGGCGATGATGATGTTCTGATGTAGGAGATGACGTGCGTATTAGTCTTAGTGTTAAGTTTGTTTGGTGCTTACTCTAGATCCCCGCCAGGCTGTCCTGTGGGGCAGGACACAACCCTCATTCCCAACTCCTCGCCTAGAGTGACCAAAAATTTGGAAATAATTCGTCATCTTCATCCCTAGCATTTAATAAAAGTAGGCCGAAAAATCACATGGGGGCCGCTTCTAAGTGATGACATTGTTAGTGTGTTTGTTACCCTACGTCTATGCTATCATATTTTCAAAACAGTGAAAGGAATGTGGCCAATAATCTTCGTAAAAATTATTACTTGTTTACTTGTGTGAAGGACCGACATCACTGCACAAGGGACATCCCCATAAGTGCTCTGTCCCCTGAAGAAGCACATCTCGAACTGTGTAGATGCTGACAGCTCCAAGCAATGGTTGATTCCATAGCCTTCTGCTCCTCCCACTAAGTCTTGAACTTCTGCAGCCGTCCCATCCGATTTCAAGCTCACGAAGTCGCTCAATATGATGGTATTCCGACTCTTCATGTTTTTTTTCTAAAAAAAAATAATAATAAAATAATGTATTTTTCCATTTATTTCTTTTCACATTTGTTAGGGAGGTTAAGTGAACTCTCATTAAATTACTTTATTTGGAAAGGATATTGGTATGTCAATTGTTAAAGGTTGTCTGACGATAGATGAATGAATAATGTGTGCAACATCAGACTCGAAGCATATCCAAAGAGTACGAGGTGGAAAATTTCTTAGTCTGTACAGTATTCTCCTCCCAAATGCATGCCAAACAAAAGCATCCTCTGCTCAAACGCATGCTTTTGTCATACGATGTTTTTGCTTTTTTTTTTACTAAATGTGAGGCAGCGTGGTGGAATCAGGTTCTCGTCAATTTTTGGGCATGTAGAGGTGTTGGTATCATCTTAAAGCTTGTTCACTTGTCTTTATTTAAATTTTAAAAAATATCCATTTATCTTGAATACAAGTTGAGATATTTGCGAAAGAAGGAGGTGTGGGTCACCTGTTTTCAGAGGTAAAATTAATGAGAAAATGGCCGCCAAAGATTAGTTATTTCCTTAGCTTAAGAGTTCGTGGTAACTGAAAATTTACATTTTTTGTGTCTTTAATCAACGTTTTTCAGAAATCTCCACAAAAAAATGCGTTCTTTAAAGGGCATGAAAGGTGTTGAGCCAAAAAACAAAAATTTGATAAAAATTCAAAAACCGTAGGAAAAATGCAAGTTTCTTCACTTTGATTATTTTGACGAGAGCCTGATTCAACCACGCTGCCTCTCATATGATTTAGATAGTGCATGGTCACTTCTTCTAAATGCACGCTTCGATCTGCGAAACACTTCGACGGGTAAAGCTTGACAAAGGGAAATCTTTTTTAGTTGAAGTTTTACGGCGCTCCCAACTGCATAAGGTCATATGAGCGCCAGAAGATTAGAGGTGTTACAAGAGAGTAGCAAACATTTTTTTGAAAAAGGAGGAGATAAAGACGATAGATGTTTGATAGGAAAGAAGAAGCAAAATACACCAGAGTACCCGACAACCACCCACAGGGAAATCTTTGCAACGTCCGCACCCGCCAACCACCCACAGGGAAATCTTTGCAACGTCCGCACCCGCCAACCACCCACAGGGAAATCTTTGCAACGTCCTAGGCAGTGTGTGTCATGATAACAAAGATGGGAAATCTTTGCAACGTCCTAGGCAGTGTGTGTCATGATAACAAAGATGAAGTCTAAACAACTGGATATAATATACAGTGCAACTTCTCTATAACGATTTTCGATAAAACGACATCCTCTGTATAGCGACAAGGTGCCCAGGTCGCGATTTTTTCCTTATATGTGAGGCAGTGTGGTGGAATCAGGCTCTTGTCAAAATAATCAAAGTGAAGAAACTTGCTTTTTTCCGCAGGTTTGTGAATGTTTATCAATTTAAAAATTTTTTTTTTTTTTGAGTGGGGGGCTCAACACCTTTCATGCACATTAAAGAACTCATTTCTGTGTTGATATTTCTGAAAAACGTTGATTAAAGGCACAAATATGTAAATTTTCAGTTACGATGGACTCTTAAGCTAAGGAAATAACTAATCTTTGGCGGCCATTTTCTCACTAATTCTACCTCTGAAAACAGGTTACCCCCCACCTCCTTCTTTCGCAAATATCTCGACTTGTAGTCAAGATAAATGGATATTGTTTTCAACCAAATAAAGACAAGTGAACAAGCTTTAAGATAATACCAATAACTCTACATGCCCAAAAATTGACGAGAGCCTGATTCCACCACGCTGCCTCACAAATATAAGAAGCACTCGGTTTTTTATAACAAATGGTACTCGGACTCGGAAAGAGAAACGAATTAGGTAACAGTTCAATTTACCGTAAAACTGTTGTTACATAATCCGTGTACTATCTGCCAGTGGACAAGTCGGTCAGGGGATAGCAAAAAGCCAAGCTTATCTGTCAGGCGGAAACTTACCTTTGGACGAGATGAGGGAGAGAGAGAGAGAGGGAGAGAGGGGGAGAGGGGGGAAAGGGAGAGAGAGAGAGAGAGAGAGAAATAAGGAATGACGACAAGAGAATGAGGATATCTCTCTGTCCCTCCCTCTCTTTCTCTCTCTCTCTCTCTCTCTCTCTCTCTCTCTCTCTCTCTCTCTCTCTCTCTCTCTCTCTCGCATTCGCTCGCTATCTCTCTCTCACACATACTCTCCCTCTCTGTCTCTCTATCTCTCTCTCTCTCTCTCTCTCTCTCTCTCTCTCTCTCTCTCTCTCTCTCTCTCTCTCTCTCCCTTGATTGATTGAAAAACTCATAGATATGTAGTCTATCTATATCCTAGATGTTACATTCGTGGCCTAGAGGTTAAGGTGTTGGCCTCTCATTCAAAAGGTCCCGGGTTCGAATCCGGGTAGCGACCGAAAAATTTTCTTCTCTAAAATTGTCTCCTTTCACCTCCTTTCCTGCTCTCTAGCAATGTTCTGTAGTCTGCTTTCGTTTCCACTTTCTGCCCCCACCCCCTCACCTCCTTTGCCCCCTCCTCTGGGCTCCTGACTCTTTCTGCAGCCTTTCTACTGCTACTCCTTGGCTCCTCCTTACTGCTGTCTTTCTGCCACACCCCTGATCTTCTGGTAGGAAAGATCCACACCTAGCCT